AACAAAAAAAAAAAAAAAAAAAAAAGTAGATAACATAAATGATAGCATGGCGGCGGGGAGGGGAAGAATGACACAAAAAAAGGGAAATCTAAACCCAGAAGGAATGAGTGGGATAAAAGAAGCAATGGTAAAGTACTAAATTTTAGTAAGTAGAGACTGTAAAAACTAATAATCACACTTTCATGGCATAAAAATACGGTCAAACTAAATACAGTAGAAACTCTATTAACAAGCCTCCACTTAACCAAATTACTAATGGGTAAACGTAAGCATTCTGTTCCTTCCGTGAAATATACTGCTGATGGTATATTAAAGGATTTCAGTTGGTAAGCTATTCTTTAGAAAATCCATCCCACTTCAGAAGGCCTAAAGATATTCTCCTTTATCATTTTCTAAAAAGTTTATAGTCCATTGGGAATTGATTTCTGAGTATGATGTGAAGGAGTTAGTGGTTCATTCTTTCTATTTAAAAAAAAAAGGCCTTTATTGAATATAATCATGCTCTTATAAGTTGAGCTCAGCTTACTGTGAGTCAGTTGTATTTTTGTTTTTTAATTTATTTATTTTTGGCTGTTTTGGGTCTTCATTGCTGCCCGTGGGCCCTCTCCAGTTGTGACGAGCCGGGGCCACTCCTCCCTGTGGTGCACAGACCTCTCATTGCGGTGGCCTCTCCCGTTGCAGAGCATGGGCTCCAGGCACGTGGGCCCCCAGTAGTTGTGGCTCGCGGGCTCCAGAGCACACGCTCAGCAGTTGTGGCACACAGGCCCAGTTGCCCCACGGCATGTGGGATCCTCCCGGACCAGGGCTCGAACCCGTGTCCCCTGCATTGGCAGGTGGACTCCCAACCACTGCGCCACCAGGGAAGCCCCCAGTTGTATTTTTTCAAACCTGTTTATGCCAGCAGTATTTGTTAACTTAATAACAAGTCAGTGCAAATACCACAAAAAAAGAATTTTTCTGAAAACATGTCCAAAACTTTGGAAAGACCTGATAGATAAGTTACTTTAAAAAATTTTCTAATAAATTTGGTATAGACCAGATGATTATAAATAATTATTCAGGGAAATCATAAAACTCTAGGATTTTTCATTTTACAGTATGTGAAAACCAGTGTTTTCATGTTTGCTGGGACAAATATGAAAACACTACATGAAAATGATTTTACGTTTTTGTACTATTAAAAAAAACCCAAGTTTGAAATGGTAGCTCATGTATTCTGGGCGTGGTTTACATAAGGAAGATCATGTAGAACTCTAATCAATAGGCTTAAGCTAAACTAAAACAAAAAAAGGTATTATTGGCTCTACATCAAAAGATTGCTGAATGAATATATATTTATATGTTTTAAGTTAAAATGTTAAAAACAAACAAACAAGCTGAAAAATACTGAATACAGTCAGGAAGAGTATGAAAAACATTCCAGAAAATCATATTTCTCTTGTATGAAATCATGCTGAACCTGAATGGAATGGCACTTCCTATAATTCAGTATTATGAACTGAGAAGGTACAGAAGGCTGTTAGAATGTCTAAGGTGACAGAACCATTTTTTTTGTACAAAGATAGTCTGAAAAGAGTATAGCTGAGAAGTAACTTGATTTTCACACTTACCATTTTTTTCCAATGGCTGGGTTATGGGGCCAGGAGTGGCAAAGAAATTATTGTTGGTCACTGGTTCTGTTTCTATGGCCTCCTCACTGGCGTGATTCATAAGGAAATAATAAGGTCAAAAAAAGTTAATATTTAACCTCTGGAAAAAAATTTAATCTTACTATATATCATCAAGTCTGGACAAATATCGTTATGTTTTATGGAACAGTAGTCCCACGGAACAAATTGTTTTTTTGTTTTTAAATGTATATCCATGGCTCAAAAGAAGGTTAAGGACCATTTTGTATTGACAGTTTTGACTTAGAAGTGGGTTAAAAGTCTTTAACGTGGGGACTTCCCTGGCAGTCCAGTGGTTGGAACTCTGCGCTTCCACTGCATAGGGGCACAGGTTTGATCCCTGGTCGGGAAACTAGGATCCAACATGCCGTGCAGCCAAAAAAACCCAAAAACAACTTCAACTTCAAGGAAAGCTATGAGTCCAACTCATTAGTTCAAATATAGGAATTGTATAGCTCATGGCTTCAAAATCATAAAGTGGAATTTTATACCAGTATACAGATAAGAGATTAAGAATGTTTTTTTAGACTAAGAAGACTCATCCGGCTATCTCAAGGTAGTTCTAGCCAATTACCCAGATGTCTGAAATACAGTTATAAAGAAGAGTATCACTGAATACTAGAAGATGGTTCAATTAACCAACTGTCCTAGTGTAATTTACTGAATAATCTTTACTTCAAAAACACCTTCAGTATATATTAAGTTCTTATGTAAATTAGAGGCTGTTTCTGGGCAATTCTGTTTCTGCAATAGGTCCATTCTGTCACAATTTTATACTGCTTTACTTACTGTAGCTTTATATATTTTAATAACTAGTAGGTTAAGTCCCCTCATTACTGTTATTTTTCATTATTTTCTTAGTTATCCTTACTTTTTATTCTTCCAAATAATTTTAGAATAATTCTGTCAAATAGCCCTCACTTTCTACCTTAAAAAAAAATCCCAAGGAGGTTTTATTGTAATTGTATGATATCCATAAATTAACTTGATATGATTGAACATCTTAATAATATTCAGTCATTCCATTCAGGATTATGGTCTATTTTTTCATCCTAATTTTCCCTTTATATAACTGAGAAATATTTAATGGTTTTATTCATATAGGTCTTTCACATACAATTGGCATGAGTATTTTACCTGTTTCAAATTTGAATGATTTTCCCCCCTATATTTACCAATTAGTTATTAATAAAATATAGGAAAGCATATTAAATAGTTATCTTATAACTATATAAAATATATCTTATCAATATATCAGCTTCTTTCTTGAACTTTTATTATTTCTAGAAATTTTAGATGTGACTTTCTCGAGTTGCCCAGGCACAAAACATGGTCTAGAAATACATCAGAGTAATACTTATTTCTGTTTCTTATCTCATTACATTGGTCAGAACATCAAGAATGACATTAAAAAAAATGATGTTTAATAGTGGTAACACATAGCTTCACTATTAAGTTAGATATTCATATTGTTTGTTATGTTAATGAAGTATCTTTCCACTTAGAATTTGACCAAACAATTTAAATGAAGAACAGTTGTCAAATTTCAAAAAATTCCTTACTGAGGAATAATAATAGGATAATCTATTGAGATTATCCTAGTTTTAAATTAATTAATTAATTTTATTTTTGGCTGCGTTGGGTCTTTGTTGCTGCACGCGGGCCTTTCTAGTTGTGGTGAGCAGGGGCTACTCTTCGTTGTGGTGCACGTGCTTCTCATTGTGGTGGCTTCTCTTGTTGCAGAGCATGGGCTCCAGGCGTGTGGGCTTCGGTAGTTGTGGCTCATGCGCTCTGGAGTGCAGGCTCAGTAGTTGTGGCGCACGGGCTTAGTTGCTCCGCGGCATGTGGGATCTTCCCAGACCAGTGCTCGAACCCATGTCCCCTGCACTAGCAGGCGGTTCCTTAACCACTGCACCACCAGGTTAAGTCCTCTGTTTTTTCTGGTTGAATCATATAAATGGTGTACTTTATGAGTTCCCAAATATTAAACTATCTTTGCATTCCTGGGATAAGCTTAACGTGGAAGTTATGCATTACAGTTTTACTATTCTGTAGAATTCAATTTATGAGTATTTTAATTGGGGTTTTAACATGTATATTCACAATTAGATTGGGCCATAGCTTCCTTTGGTGTGCTCTTTCTGTGTTTGTATCAAGGGTATATCAATCTCAAACTGAACTGCAGAGTTTTCTGTCGTATTCCAGTTTTAGAAAAATAACTTTTTTTTGAGTGTGTGTTCCAATAAAATTTTATTTACAAAAAATAGGCAGTAGGCTGGGTTTGGTCTCTGGCTATAGTCTGAAGACCCCTGAGAATGACAGTTCTTTTTAAAAATCATTATTTTCATAGTATCTCATTCTTAAGGCAGTTTATAATTTTTTATCCATTATACCCCACTAACTCTATGTAAGCAGGATGGGTATGGTTGTATCCATTTCACTAGCGTTTGTGAGTCTGGAGGTCCCCAGGTTAGGTGTTGGCATCTGAGCTAGAACGTACGTCTCCTTCTCAGAAAAAGAACTTTTATGTAAGATGGAAGGTGTATGTTCTCTGAAATTATGAAAGGATTCATCCAGGGAACCATCTGTGCCCAGAGCTTTTTGGAGCTACTTCTCTGATAACTTTTCTGGTTTTCTTCTCTGATTTTTGGTCTATATAGGTTTTCTAATTCAAGTCTGTTTTGATAATTTTGTGTTGTTTTCAAAACTTTTTAATTTATCTGAATTTTCTAAATTTCCCAGTATTATACCCTATAGTATTTCTAATAGCTTGAAAAATAAAAGATATAGCCCGTAGTTCCTAATTTTGCCACATTTACATTAATGTTTAAGTAAGAACCAATTCTTCAACATATCAGTTTTACCCTCTTCTGAAAATATTTTGTAATGACATTTTATCTTTAGTGTTTACTCTCTTCACTTTTCCCCACAATTGTGGGGTTTTCTTCTGACACTTTGAGTTGAATGTTTATTTTCCTTCTTTAATAACTACAGTTCTTAAAGGTATGGGTTTATATTTGGTACTGTGATATACGGTATTTTCATTTTCATTGTAACTCATTAATTACCACTTCCATATTCCCTTTAGTCTAGCATGGAATTCATCACTGCGGTTCAAATTCATATTAAAATACCTAACTAAGCTTAAGAGCACCTCAAAACCAACATGTAAGGAAACTCATCACCTTTACTGCATCCCAAGCTGCAGGTATTCCTATTTTAGTTCCCAAGCATCACTTCAGGCAACAAAACAGAAATCTGTGATTTACCCAAGATCCTCTTCTCTTCCCAAGTCTCCATACCAAATCAGTCGTAAGTTTTTAATAATTTTACTTTTTATTTTATCCCTTCTTCTCTATCCTACCATATACCATCTGTTTTCAGGCTCTTACCATTCCTTCTGTTATCTTCTAACCTGAGGAAACTAATAGCTAACACTTTACTGATGGAATTGGTGATTCAGAGAAGTTTGAAATATGAAGTATCTGAAAATCTCTGAAGGAAAGATATCGTCTGAAACATATTTCTTCTAGGGAAAAAAAAATCAATAAATACAAAAGATTTAGAAAGTTAGATAAAATGCTCCTTTTAAGAAAGCTGCTTACCTGTTATTCTTCACATTTTTAAGTCCCATTGTATAATCTTCATTTAAACACATAGTATATTCAGAGATACCAAAGTGTTCTAATTTAGGAGTCACACACTCAAAATCATCCATCTTTAGTGCACATTTGGGAGTTTTTACTAGTGGCCGTTTGGAAAATGGAGTTAAAATTTTTGGCTCTTCCTTCTCGTTGTTTACTGCCTGGGGAGGGTTTGGCAGAACTTGGGATATCATGTACCGCTCAAGTCCAAAATCGGAAAGTTGTGGACTACGTGGAGTCTCCTCAGAAACAGAACTGCTTAGAAGAGCGGAATCCGACAAATCACCCTTCACATCAGGCTTCTCAGGATTTTCACGTTTATTTTTCTCTGGTTTAGAGTCAACGACTTCTTGCTCATCCACTGGGAGGAAAAGTCAAGGTCATATTCTGGTCAAACAGCAGACTAGAAAATGTCATGTACTAAAACCACATAAAACAGCTCCATTTGAAATGTCCCAAATCAGCAAAGGTCCTGACTCTCTCCTTATTCTCTAAGGTTTTATTTCAATTTTCCCTTTACATTTCTGACATGTACCGCCTTGTCCACCCATATCTCATCTAGGGGATTACATCAGAGAAGGGGAGTAAACTAAAATGTTAAAAGATGAAAAAACAATACTCACCAATAAAAGTGTAATTTCCTTACTTTCTCAGTTAATGTGATTTACCAGTCTTTTTTAACATATTATGAAACTATCTTATCATGTAATGACATTTAATTACAGTGTGGAGTTAACTACAATCTAGATTTAACACAAAGTAAAATAATATTATTTTAGATTTCTAACTTACAGATGGCCTAAGGTAAAAAGGAAAGACACAAATATAAATTTTTAACCTAAGTCAGTCTGGAACACCTGTATCAAAAACCTAGTTGGGAGAAATCAGAGGAGAAATTAGTGAGACAAGTAGTTTCTCAATCTTTTATAGGTTATATCTGACTCCAGACCCCCATATGCTTAACCACTACACTGTACATTTCAGACTGAATAACTTTACTAACAACTATACTTTTTCCCACAGTCCTCTGCCATTTCCTGGGTATACCACTGGTTAATAAGTTTGGTGTGGAACTTAGGTTGGATCCAGGATAGCACTTAAAATGCCAAGAAAGAGTTCAAGGAGAAATACTAGTTTTTGGTGTGAGAGACAACAGAAAGTGAAAGAGGATACCTAGAAAGAAGGTAAGTGGATTTGGTCAGGATTTGGGCAGAGATTAATTTAACAAATGATAGGGCTTCGGTTAGACAGTGAGACAGCAAGGTATAAAGGTATAAAGTAGAGAATGGAATGGTGGAAGAAAATGCAGAATGACAAATATAAAATGTGTATTAAAGAAATGTAGTATGAAGTAGAGAAGGAAAATTAACCAACAATTGGAAAGGGCTGATAGAAAGCAGAGACAGAGGAGAGGGTGAGATGAAAATGTATTTAGAATCCCCGATGGGATAGGCATTTTTATATTTAATTTTTACTCCATTTAAGTTTCCTATTAACTGCTCCAAGCACAAAAAATATCTTTGAATATTTTTTCCTCATTTAAAAAATTAAGGTACTTAACAACATTTTGGAGAACATTCAGCTGATAGAATTTAAAGAGCCAAGATCTGAACCCACATCTTTTGATTCTAAATGCTGCCATATGTTTAAGCATTCGGAGGGAGTTAATAAAGAGATTTGTTTTAGATAATTTTGAGCAGATAACATTTGGTTGCTAAATGGGAAATATTAATTGTAATAATCATACATATTTATTGAAAGAAATGGGAAATAAAATTTTCTAAAATTTCCTGTTCGTTGCATCCTTTTTAAGAAAATACTGGGAAGGGACTTCCCAGGTGGTCCAGTGGCTACGACTCTGTGCTCCCAGTGCAGGGGGCCCGGGTTTGATCCCTGGTCAGGAAGCTAATCCCACACGCTGCAGCTAAGACCAATGAGCCAAATAAATAAATATTAAAAAGAAAATACTTACACTTTTTTATTTTTTAGGAGTCATTACAGATTGAAGGAAGTGAAGGATTGAAGGAGGTGAAGAGGTACACACTTTTTCTATGAAGAAATTACTTTCCTTGTTTTGACTGGCAACCGAAATGAACTAGGATAGGATATTGTTTTTTTGTGCATGATAAGCCACGACATGTTAAATGTGAAGGATGCACCATTAAAAAAAAAGTTATAAACTTTGATTTCGTGGCTTTTGGCCCTTGGAAGAGCTGCTGGTTCAGAGCTGTTTTGGCATTGTGCTTTCTGTTAATTTTGAGAACTGTTATAAGAACTACCAAAAAACCTATTGTTGAATTTATTACAAGGCTGTCACTGATGATTTTAATAAAATAAAGTTATCACCATTATTACTACCTCTTAGGGAGGTATTAGCATCTCTAGTTCACTAGTGAGGAAAAGCAATTTAGAGAAATTATCCAAGGTCACACATGTAGTAACTGGTGGAACCAGTTTCTGAGTAACCAAAGTCAACCTGTCCACACCAAAGTCAACTGAATTCTTTCCATTATACCATGCGGATTATTTAATATACCTTCATATATATCCTCGACATATACATATTTGTTGAATCTAATTAATGTTTTATTTATGTACAAAGACTCTCATAGCAGAAATGAAGACACTGAAGCATACTGAAATTAGTTACTCACAGTTATGGGTATAACAATAATAATAGTTAACAATGGGTGATTAGCATACGAGGTACTGTTCTAAGCAAATTTTACCTCATTTAATCCTTATACAGCCTCAGAGGTAGATACTATTAAACATATCTACTTTATAGGACTTCCTTGGTGGTCCAGTGGTTAGGACTCGGTGCTTTCACTGCATGTGGTCCTGGGCTCAGTTCCTGGGCTCAGTTCCTGGTCGGGGAACTGAGATACTGCAAGCCATGTGGCGCGGCCAAAAACAAAAAAAATTCTCTCATTTATAGATGAGAAAGTGAGGTACAAAGTTAAGTTACTGGTCAAAGATTAATACAGCTAGTAAGTGGTGAAATTAGAGATTTGAACTCAGGCAGTTTGACTCTAAATTCTAAACCATCATGCTATCCTACCCTTCATTAGAATTTTAGAACTAAAAAGGACTTTACAATTTATATAGCCAAAAAACTCTCATTCTATATGGAAGAAGAAACTGAGAACGAGAAAAGTGAAATAGCATGCCTTAAGGTTGGTCTCTCAGCTGTTTACTGGCAGAGCTGACCAGAAACCAACTATCCTCAAGGGGACACAGATTTATCTTGTACCCTTCTTTCATCTAGCATTGTGTTGGTTCTCATCTAGCATTTGCAAAGGAGAGCAAAGACTGTCTTTATATTGTACCACTGATCAGCACTGCATCCAGAACACAGTGATTGCTGAATAAATGATCAAAGGACTATCATATAATGGCAGAGTCAGAACTAGAAACAATGGCCAAGCCAATAGTAGTCTTAATCATGCTGCCTTCTTTCTTTAATACTAAAACAAATGCTATAAAATGCAAGTTATTCACACCTGAATTTTCCTTGGCACGTGGATTATATCCATACTTCTGGAAAAACTCTCTTATTTTCATGATATCCATTGAATTTTTTTTCATCAGTACTTTTGTTGCCTTTATGAAACCAATGCTTTCTTGACTTTCCAAGCTTGCTTCATCAAGAAGAATATTGACATCATCCTTTTACGAGGAAAGAAAGTACATTTTAATTTAACTTTTGACTAAGTCTATTTAGTTTTTTTAAATTACCACATAAAAATGATAAATTAATATTGTAGGACTGATACCTTTAGAGTCCGGACTTCTGAATGAAGGTCATGTAAAACTCTCATTGGATAATCTTCAAAGTCTTCAATATGAATATTGAAAGAAAAAAGTATAACAAGTTAAAGGAAGAAAAAGAAAGAAAATGTAATTTAGTATAGTTATTTAGAATTACAAAATCCTTGTAGATACTTATGTATAATTTATATCCTGTCATTTGCAAAGAAAAGTGTTAAGACTTTTCTTTAAAATTTTTATTAAACTGTAACATACATACAGAAAAGTACAGAAATCATAAGTATATAGTTTTATGAACTTTCAAAGTGAACATACCTATGTAATCAGCACTCAGATCAGGGACTGGAGGAAGGAGGAGGGAATATAGTCCTACTTAGCTGTTTTTCATTTATGGTGAGCACGTTTTGGTTCCTATTTTTAAAATCTTTGCCAGTGACAATGCTTTTCTTTTAAAAGCTTTATTGTTTGGACTTTTGCATTAATTAAATTAATTAATTAATCAATTAATTTTTGGCTGCATTGGGTCTTCGTTGCTGCACGCGGGCTTTCTCTAGTTGCGGCGAGCAGGGGCTACTCTTCATTGAGGTGTGCGGGCTTCTCATTGCAGTGGCTTCTCTTGTTGCAGAGCATGGGCTCTAGGCACACGGGCTTCAGTAGTTGTGCCACGTGGGCTCAGAAGCTGCGATGAATGGGCTTAGCTGCTCCACAGCATGTAGGATCTTCTGGGACCAGGGCTCGAACCCATGTCTCCCGCATTGGCAGGTGGATTCTTAACCACTGCACCACCAGGGAAGTCCTGGCCTTTTGCATTTAGAGCTACAATCCATCAGGAATTGATTTTTGTGTATGGCAAGAGGTAAGGATCAAGATCCATTCTTTTTTTTCCATATGAGTGTGCAATTGACCTGGCACTGAAAAGACATCGTTTATCTACTGTACCATCACCTTTCTTATTAATCACTTGGTCATATACCTAACATAGAAGCAGTTTTTAAAAAGATTTCTCTTTTCTAAAATATGCCTCCTTTCAAGACTATCTCCTTCCACCTGTTAAAAGTTGATCAATTTTCACATTTGTAGAGACACGGATGGACCTAGAGACTGTCATAGAGTGAAGTAAGTCAGAAGGAGAAAAACAACTATCGTAGATTAACGCATATATGTGTAATCTAGAAAAATGGTACAGATGAACCGGTTTGCAGGGCAGAAATACACGCAGATGTAGAGAACAAACGTATGGACGCCAATGGGGGAAAGCGAGGGCGGGTGGTGGTGGTGGTGGGATGAATTGGGAGATTGGGATTGACATATATACACTAATATGTATAAAATGGATAACTAATAAGAACCTGCTGTATAAAAAAAAAGAGTTGACCAATTTTCATTAGGAAAATGCAAATTAACAACACAATGATATTGTATTTCATACCACTAGAATGACTATAATTAAAAAGAAAGACAATAGGGCTTCCCTGGTGGCGCAGTGGTTGAGAGTCCGCTTGCCGATGCAGGGGACACGGGTTAGTACCCCAGTCCGGGAAGATCCCACAAGCCGCGGAGCGGCTGGGCCCGTGAGCCATGGCCGCTGAGCCTGTGCGTGCGGAGCCTGTGCTCCACAATGGGAGAGGCCACAGCAGTGAGAGGCCCGCGTACCCCAAAAAAAAAAAAAAAAAAAAAAAAAAAAAAAAAGACAGACAATAACAAATGTTGATGAGGAAGTGGAGAAACTGCATCCCTCATTCACTGCTGGGGGAAACGTACAGTGGTGCACTTTGGTAAACAATTTGGTCGTTCCTCAAAAAGCTAAAAACAGATTTACCATATGACCCAGCAATTCCACTTCTAAATGCATACCAAAGAGAACTGAAGACATTACGTTCACATAAAGCATTGGCACACGAGTGTTTACAACAGCATTAGTCATAATAGCCAAAGTAGAAACGACCCAAATGTTCATCAACTGATGGATACCCAAAATGTGGTAAATCCATACAATGAAATATTATTCAGCAATAAAATGTAATGAAATAACTGATACATGCTACCATGACAGGGATGAACCTTGCAACACTTCGCTAAGTGAAATGTCAGTCACAAAAGACTACAGCTTGTACAATTCCATTTACAGGAGATGTCTGGAACAGGCAGATCTAGAGAGACCGAAAGTAGATTAGCGGCCGCATAAAGCAGTGGGGTAGGTGGGAGCAAGATTCCGGGGAGTGGCTGTCAACAGTCACCGGGGTTTGTTTCGGGGGGTTATGAAAATCTAAACTCAGTGTGATGATGGTTGCACACCTCTGTGAAGATACTGAAAACCACTGAATTGTATCCTTTAACATGGTGAATTTTATGAGATTCATAACTGTGATCACAGAAGGCGAATTTAGGGGATGTTCATTTTCTCTAATTATCTCAATTCCATATTTTCTGTAATACATGCAGGCCAGGAACTGAAAAAATTATTCCAGCTTTTTCTTGTAAAACCAAAAGAAAAGAAAGAATGTGTGTAACCAGGCAGTAGATTGGTAAGGAGGTAAATTAGCAAAAACTTTATTGAAAACTATTCAGCTATGTCTAAAAATTCCAAAACCATTAATACAGTTTTGTGTCTTATAGCGTTACCTCAACTACGTAAACAAAGTCAAGCAAAACAAGGCAACGCTAAAAGTAAGGATGGTAGAAAAGCTACTGAACTATTAATAGCTGTGTCTTCTGACGGTGAAGGTATAGCAAAGACTTATTTTCTTCTTTCTACTTCTCTGTTACCTCAAATTTTTTTTTTTTTTTTTTTTTCTTGCGTTATGCGGGCCTCTCACTGTTGTGGCCTCTCCCATTTGCGGAGCACAGGCTCCGGACGCGCAGGCTCAGTGGCCATAGCTCACGGGCCCAGCCGCTCCGCGGCATGTGGGATCCTCCCGAAACGGGGCACGAACCCGCGTCTCCTGCATCGGCAGGCGGACTCTCAAGCACTGCGCCACCAGGGAAGCCCCTGTTACCTCAAATTTTTTGCCGTGCACATAATATTGCTTTCACAGGCACAAGCATAAACATTTTTAAATGGCTGGAAAACTATTCATAATATAAAGGAAAATGAGTCTGCGTCTACCGGGTGCGATATTTTAAGGCGGATTACAGTTATGACGCACAAGATAATCTCAAAATCTGCACTACTCTTGCAACAACTTCAAAAAGTCTCAATACAAACGTTAGTGGTGGAGAATTTTGCTTTACCTATATTTTAAAAAGCAGTACTGCGTATTAGCTTTCGTCTTGGCAGTACGGTTTGTTGGGAAAAATACAGACTGCAACTGTGGACCATCTGGTTGAGACCAAAGTCACTCTACATGTCAAGAACAGGGCTGAGCGGCTGCGGTTAGAAGAAACGTTTCATCTTCTCTTGGTCGTATTTTTCTTGATAAGCCCCCACTACGTGCACTTGAAAAGCTCATCGTGTGTAAATGAGCGCGTGCATCGCGAGCCCAGCCTGCCGGCTCGATTAGGGCTTTGGTTTTTAGTGCGGCTGTTTCTCCGCCCCGCGTCCCTGGTGGGGCAGAGGCTGCGCGCAGCGCTGGTCGGGCCCGGGGGTGCCTGGGGCGAAGGGCGCCGCCGCCTCCCCCGGGAGGGCTCCTCACAGTCAGCCGCCTGTCGGTTGGCCAGTGCGCGCGCCACCATCCCTCACGCGGCTCACTCACCGCTGTCCTCTCCGTCCAGCGCTCGCTGCAGCCGAGCCGTCTCGCCGTCCAGGGTCACGGCCAGAAACCGCAGCTTCCCGCAGAAGCCCCGGATCAGGTCCATGGACGAGCCCCGCGCTCGTCCTCAGCGCCCGCGCACGTTTGAATCCCGGTGCCGGAAACGCCATTGGTTCCGCGACTCGCGCAAGGCCCTTCTCGCGAGAGCTGAAGCCTCGCGCGAGGAGGCGGGCGGCGCGTCGAGAAAGCGCGCTTGCGGCTTCCGGCTTCCGGCGTCGTGTGCTGGCGTGCGGAGGGCGGCCGTGAGGCGCGGCTGGTGAGTGTTGGGGCGCGGGTCGGGTTGGCCTGCGGGCGGCGGCGGGGCTCCCCTCTCCCTTCTCCCCGTGGCCGGCGCGCTTCCGACTCCCGCTTCTGTGCCCTCGGCAGGCGCCATGTTCCTGACCGCGCTCCTGCGCCGCGGCCGCATCCCCGGCAGGCAGTGGATCGGAAAGCACCGGCGGCCGCGACCCGTGTCGGCGCAGGCGAAGCAGAACATGGTCCGCCGCCTGGAGGTCGAGGCGGAGAACCACTACTGGCTGAGCCGGCCCTTCCTCACGGCCGAGCAGGAGCGCGGCCACGCGGCGGCCCGCCGGGCGGCCGCCTTCCAGGCGCTCAAGGCGGCGCAGGCGTCCAGGTTCCCCGCGCCCCGGCGGCTGGAGGACCAGCTCGGCCACCTCAGGGTCACAGAGAAGTGGTCCTGACCCGCGCCACGCCGCCTGCGTCCTGCGGCGACGAGCGGGAGCCTCTGGTCGGAGCCCCTCGGAGCCCCACGGAGCCCCGGCCAAGCCGAGCGAGTGCCTGCGACGGAGGCCCCGGGCCCGCGCTCCCCGCCGCCCGCAGTGTGTCTCGGTCGGATCGCGTCTCGCTTCTCTGTCCTGAGGACGGAACCGGACGGCGCCCGTGTGTCACGGGACGCGGAACGCAACCTGCGCGCAGCCGCAATAAAGCTGCCGACCGCGCTCTGGCATTTGGGCCTCGGTGCGAGATTCTTCCGGGGGCTTTGCGGTGCGTGCTCGCTTACTTTCTGCCGACAGGTCTTGCCTAAGCGGACATGAAAAAAATCTACTTTTCCAGTTAAACGCGCTCCTAAAAATAGCGGTTTTTGGTGAGATTTGCTCCAAAAAGTGGACAGTTGGACATCGTCTATTTTGGGGGACTTCCCCCGGAACTAAGACCCGTTAAGCCAGGCGGCGCAGCCAGAAAACAAACCAGACAGACAAAATAAGTCTGTTTTAAAAAAAATCAGGTTGTCACCTCAGTATTGAAATTTAAAGATGATTTATGTATTTTGGGTATGAGTCCTTTTTCAGGTATTCTTTTTCCAGTGTTCGACTTTTCATTCTTTTAACAGAATGGCTTTCAGAGAATGGTAGTTCTTAGGTTTGATGAAGGGGACAATTGAAAATTGTTCAATAAAAGCTAAATTAAAATCTTTTTGATAAAGCCGCGTGTGCTCTGGCGTAGGCAGACCACAGTGGGGTCGCACTCAGGTAGTACCCGTGGTTGCCCGAAGGATCAGCCCCATCGCTTTCCCAAGGCAACAACACTGTACCTTGCCACACCTGCCAGGTGACTAAAGCAACAGTCATCCCCTAACAACAACAGCAGCAACAACGGCTGTTCAAATACAGGACTTGATTTATTAATAAAGTAATTATTATTACGATTTTTGGAAAAACAAGTTTTAAAATGTTCAGCCTTCATGTTAATGTAGGTTAGGCCACCCAAAAGACAAAGCAAAGATAACATTAAGTCATGGTCCAGGGTTACACTTAACGAAAAACAAATACAAGATTTACGGGACATGATACGTAAAAACAACCAAAGTATTTCAAATTTGTTTATATAAAAACATATTAAAGATCACTTTAAAATAGTGTCCACCTTTTCTGTAAATGGGCATAGACTAACCTGCAATCATGTACAAATGTGATAAACTCAACAGCTTTCTGAAGCTTTTAATACAAATACAATTCCTTGCTTCTTTATGCAACTCAACAAAGTAAAGTGAAGTCGTTAGAAAAATATGGACCTTTCTGAATCTATCTTGCATTTTTAAGCTGGAAAATATAGTTCAGATCATAAACACATGAATTTTAGATTTACGTATTAACTATCTTACAGAATATGAGATACGGTCTTTATTTTGGCTGAAATGCAAAAATATGGTTAATTTCTCTAACAGATTAGTTAAAAATACTTTCCATTGATAGCAGTGTTAGTCCTAGAACAAAATGTAAGCAAAACATTTGTAAGTCAGTTGTCTTATCAGCGCCCCAAATATGCAGATCCTAACACTAAGCCCTTAATATGCATCTGCTTTAAAGATGACTGAAGGGAAATCTCACATGACTGAAAATCTAGAAATAAGTTCAAGTAAACATTGCATATTTGATTTAAACTAAGTTAACTTATGACACTTTGGATCATAACCACTAAATATGTAAAAGGATTTTTAAAAATCATCCATATGCAAAGATGAAACTATACTATGTGAGCGGTGCAAGTTCAGTGACCACTAAGCTGTAGCTGCTCTTTGGTTTGGCACAGTGACAGTGGTCAGATGCCTCAGGTACTGAATATTCAAGTAAGTTTGTACCCACGTAAAACCAAGTTTCCTGTCTAATTTGTTTTTAATAGCAATGGCAAGACCTGAAATTCAACTTTTATTTTCCTTAAATATTATCACAACTGTTCAAGTGTTTGAAGGAACAAAGACAGTACTAATAAATTTTGACAGGGCTTCATTTTGACCATTTCTCTGCAAAGGTTGGCAGCACTAATCAATCCCAGAGAAATACCAAAGAGTCAGCCTTTCCCTGATTCCCATACCACTTGTAGGCCCTTTTGCCAAACAGTCATTAATATGTACAACTAAATGAAGCCGAATATTTAGAACGTGGCAAATGTTGGCCATAAATTAATTAAACGAAAGGTAACTAAATTAAAAGGCTTTAGCTGAAAATTCCTGAAAAGGTGTTTACTAATGCTATTAAGATGATGTTAACATACTGAAAGAACTGAAAAAGAAACACCACAAAAGCACCCAAATAGGTTAAAGGGAAAATTAAGTTTCCTCAGTTGTTAATCAGGTGCATGCAAATCCTTTGACCTGAATGTAAAAATACCCACAAGAAGTACCGGGACATTTCTGAAAGCAGTCACTTACGTTTAAACATTTACTGTTTCCTTATAACACTCAAACTGCCAGACTGAAGTGATGTTTCTGGTTGGTAAATCTATATCCCTTAACTCTCATAAGTTTTCTAGAATCAAGATTATTAAGACTACAGTGTTGAAATAAAGGTAGAAACTGTATTATAGTATTCCAAACTATATTTTCAAAGCTAAACTCATTCCTCTAGTTCAAAGGGGAAAAAAATTACTTGCTTTTAATATCTAATATTAATATAGCCCATGGAATTAGACAAATCCTATAAATTATAAACCTGGAATAGTAGGCTATAAAATTTATGCTACATTAGGAGATTATAGAGCTATCCCTAGTATATTGTTTGGCGTCCAGAAGGAACTCCAAATATACCTGTTGGACGAATGTTAAGTAAGGTATGCAAAATTAGAAATTGAAGAATGTTAAAGGTCATCCAGTCGAAATCATTCTTAACACCCCTCTCCCCAACCCCATTTTATAGACAAGGAAACTATAACATGTTTTTACAGACGCTGGTTAAAACTGATCTCCACCCACTACTGGAAGCAATCAGTCATTTATTTTAGCTTGTGTGTGGCTGACTAAGCAGAGTATAAAGGAGGAGTAACATCTGTATATTGTTTCTCTGCTATAGGACACTATTTTTCTTTAGAATTAATGCAACGATCCCTGTCACTTAGATTGGATTTCAAAAGGAAAAGGGGGGTAAGTGTCTAGGCAGAAAGGGGTTGCTGTTAGGAAGTCAGATTTAAAATCCTGCATGTAAGAGTGGAATCCACCTCTCAGAGAATGGAAGCTTTGAATGACTCTCCAGTGAGAATTTCCTTCTTGAGAGCAGTGTTATGCTTAAACAGTTTGACCCTAGTCCAAATTGTATTTTATGTTGCTGTTTAAGCTATTATAGGATTACTGTAAAAAGTTTCAAAGCAAATTTCAGTCATTACCTAAACTGAAATTTGAAAGTCAACTCAGCAGCAGGCAGCACTCTGAAAACATAACTTTAACAGCTTTCTGTTAGCTTGTCTTTTGCTTTATTTTTCTTCTAGCCACTTCTACCCGATCCTACTGTGTCCAGTATTTCTATAGCACACGTAACCTTTGTTTCCCTACCTGTATAAATACCCATGGAAGTTCAACAAGAGTATACTGAAAGCAGAAACAAAAAAGTTTCTTAATACTGCCGAATTTTCTTTAAGCCTTGGGCACGACACTGCACATGGTTTAATTAATGCTTAGAACTAAGCCTTCAATGAATTATACAAATATGCTCCATGTTTTAAATGATTAGGTATCTAAATCCTTCTGTTATTTTATAGCCAACAATTAAAAAAATCTTTAGTAAAAATGTTGAAAAGTATAAAACTAACTATAAATTAGCAAACACCAAGTTGTTTTTAAAGCAATTCTTTTCTTAACAGTACCAGCACTTTCAGCCACCGTACTGACCTAGATGTACTTCACTTAAAACGAGTTTTTACCTTGTGTTTCTGGAGTGAAAATTTATATGGATACTAAGAACTCTAAAAGTGTAACTCAGGTATCAAAAGAATACATACGTCATGTTAACATGTGACCTGACAGCTCATATTATAGCATATCGTAATACGTTCTTATGAGTACATGTTATTTCCAGAGTAAAATTAAGTCACTTTTGTAGCCGTAAGTCAGTGTTGAACAAATGGGCTCATTTAAGATTAAGGCATCTTCCAGCTCTGGAGCAGTGCTTCTGTGGATCCAACAATCTGTACAAAGGTTTCCTTTTTTAAAAAATATATCTTCATTTATACTTCAATTATTTAATTCCACTGATCATCATCTTGCGTATAAAACTGAAAATATTCAGTCCATAATGTTTTTTATAAACCTATAAAACCAGAAACAATTGAATTATTAAAACTTGATTTTATATTTCTGAAAATAAGATTAAATAGTTCTTTGGGCTAAGGTATAAAGCTGCTAATACAACACAAAAGGAAAGAAATACTTTAATATTACTAATATTCTAATAATAATAAAGGTTTTTAGACCCTGTAAATAAGGGACAGATCACTGACTTTCCCTGAAGCCATTAAGTGAGCATTTTAATAGAGGCAGATCCTTACACTTTTCCCTTAGTGTTAACTTGGGCATAATCTGAGAAGACTGCTATCAGATGTTTATGGGAATTTCAGTGAGGATTCTCAACCACCACAAGCATCAGCCATTGTTCCGCCTACACTGAGAAGACGCCCGGAGCCAGGACCCGGGAGCCCGGTCTGAGGACCAGCTCTGGGTGGGGTTGCCAATGACAGGTGATCACCGCCTGCAGCTCCTGCTGCCCTCTGCCTGCCGGGAGCCCCACCCACCGGGGGCTGTTTCTGATGCTCTCTGAGTATTAGGCTCTGGCTGTGACTTGGACATGGACTCCAGGTCCTTGTAAGGAACTGAATGCTAATGACAAACACCAAGCAAGGAAGCAGATGTCCCCTAGATGAGACTACAGATGAGAACAGAGCAACTGAGGTAATAAAGGTGTGTTGTCTTAAGCTGCTAAGTGTGTGATAATTTGTTAGGTAGCAATAGGTAACCAAGAAACACTACACGTAGGTTTTCAAAACTCTTAACAGCTGCGCGTGATGCTGCTGAGCCAGTGAGCTTAGCTTCCGACTTGAATGTGCATACCTGTCTTCTCTGTTTTTAAGCAGCAGGAGAGTTCACTACATCCCTGCGTTCAGTCAGTGTTAGCACTGCCCTCACTGCTCCTACTGGCCCATGGGGAAGGGCTTCTATTCCTACCTCAATCAACCTCCTCTGGCTACTGCAAAGGCATCACTGATCCATGTACTTGGCTGCAGTAAGCTGCTCTTCTGCTATATCTTTTACCAAGTAAATAACATCAATGAACCTCTTAAGTCTTTTTTTCAGACTTTAATCTTAGTCACTCTTCTCTGGATCAAATTTCTTCAGGAGTGGGCAAAAGTCACCTTTTTTCCTTAAACTAATTAATAAGGTACCGTTCAGTGAAAAGGTTAGTTGTCCATATACCAATCCTAACAATTTTTTTAGTTTCCTCATTAACCTACCAATAAATATCCAGTAAGATCATGCTAGGAGTAGTAAGAAAGATGGGAGTTAGGCAGATGTTACCTTCCAATCTCTCCTGAACTACCTGATTTTGCTGATACAATGGAAAGAGTAAAAAAGACTTGCAAACTGTTTTGAGATTATGACATGCAAATAAACTAATTTTTGGAGAAATTACCTTTATACTGTCTTACCTTGCTCTTATTCAACTGGTTAGTTATGAACAAGTGGTACTCAATTTTCTATTGCCACTGTTACATGGTTATTTGTCCCTGTAAGCACATAATTATATATGACATGACAAAAAAAGAAACATTAAGTTTCTGGCTAAATGGTAAAATTGATGATTACAGTAAAAGCAAGTATTATGTAAGCACTAAATAGGCTTCTGGTGCCAACCATTTGCCTTCTGCTAGAACCCAGAAGGAAGGAAAGCAGTGCTAAAATCTCAGTCTGTTTTTATGCTTATCTTTGTAAAAACGTCCATTGGCTCTAAAGATGTTCAGGAGCAATAATTTCAAGTCCACAAATGGATTTTTCCCTTTATTTTATACTGAGGGTCTAATAACCTGAATGAAGGTCTTTTTAAAAAATTTTTTTATTTTATTTATTTATTTTTGGCTGTGTCGGGTCTTTGTTGTGGTGCACGGGCTTCTCACTGCAGTGGCCTCTCTTGTTGTGGAGCACAGGCTCCAGGCACGTGGGCTTGAGTAGCTGTGGCACACGGGCTCAGTAGTTGTGGCTCGCGGGCTCCAGAGCACAGGCCCAGCAGCTGTAGCACATGGGCTCAGTTGCTCTGCGGCATGTGGGATCCTCCCGGACCAGGGCTCGAACCTGTGTCCTCTGCATTGGCAGGCAGATTCCTAACCCCTGGGCCACCAGGGAAGTCCCCTGAATGAAGGTCTCAATGAAAGTAATTTAAGAGAATTTAAATGCTGCTGAAAGCCAAAATGACAATAACAACAAATCAGAAATTGTGACAGCAAGCTTTCAAGTTTTAGGGTATTTCCTAGAGTTAGTACCAAACCATTTTCCTACAGTGCAAGAAGAATGTTATTACTAGTATTATTAAGAACCACAGATATGTTTTAAGCTATAATGCTAGTGAGTGGCCAAACTATATTATAAACCGAGGCCTGATTCAAAAGCCCACTTCTGTCTTATCAACTGTTGTATAAGGTACCACAATTCATGAAATGATTAAGAGTCATCATGGTTCAAATACATTCAGTGCACTCTTTTTATACTAAGACAAGACAGCCAAAGAGTACAAGGCATTTCAAAATTATTTTCAAATAAGCAAAAGCTATGACCCCCAAAATAACCTTGTTTAAGCATTATCCAGAATATTATGCCAAAAGAATTTTCTACATCTGAGGTGACAAAATACATGGCTGGGTAACAACAAGGAAAAACAAAGTTATGAACAGATGAAAACACAGCAGCAGCCACTACACTTCCTCACTCAACCTTCGCCTCCGTGAAAGCTACCAGTAAACACTAACGGCCCACGTGTAAGTTATTTTATGAAAAAGTTTCAAATATTTTAGTATTTTAAAATAGCACATGATGTATTTTAATTTTTCCACATTTATTAAACCTGGTGATTTTCATTTTAACCAGACAAAGCAATGTTTTCAGATGACGAGCATTTTACCTGATCTGATAACACCTTCTTCGGATCCATTCTCCAGCCACTGAGATTCACTGTCCAACAAGCGGTTTTTTGATTCACTAAGCGGTTTGATAGGAAAGGGTGGATTTGAGCCAATACTGAAAGAGGAGCAAATAATTTAGTAAACAGTCTAATGCTCAATTAATAATACTTAATTAATAAGCAGCAAATTAGTATTCCTTCTCCTAAATATGTGAGGGCAACTCATGAGATCTCAGCACTCTGAAAAAACTCCATCTTCAAGAGAAAATGTGCCCCCAACCCCCCCGCATTAAATGGCTCTCTAGACCCAAGAATTTGTACGCAGCACTGCCAATGAAAACAATTAGATAAAAGAAAAACAGCTTCAGAGGCCAATCTGAAACATTTTTAACAGGTTAATCAAGAGCCATAAGGTAGCACAAGGACAGGTGAGGATCTATGTCTGTGGCCAGGACAAAAAGATTACCTGTCATTTCCCAAGTTTTCTGCTTTCTACCTCTGCAGTATAGATCTAAGGGGAAAAAATGATTTAGTGATTTAGCGTAGACTTAGTTTTCTAGCTAAGGCATCCAGGGAGGGAGGGAATGGAGGAAAAAAAGGAGGAAAAGGAAAGTAGTATTGTTGGGGAGCCCCTATGGGCAGGCGCTGTGCTGGGTGCTTTCTACACACCATCACAATCTTCACAGTAACCCCCGAAGGGAGTACAGATCCTCCTCTCAGAGAGCTGGCAGCTGAGGCTCAGACAGTTTAAGTAGCTTCCTCGAGCTCTGAGGTCCTAGGTTCTAAGGCCTATGTTCTTCCAAAATTAATCCGCTAGCTTGGAATTTATAATCCCTCCTCCCCCACAACTTATTTCTGTAAGTTTCAAGTGTTTCACTTTGACAGAAGCATCTCTATCTCCTTTAAAATTTCATTTAAAATGAACTATTTCTCTGAATTTATGAATCAGTGTGCTCGCCATACAAACTCTGAGAAAATATCCTCTAAGACAAAGAAGAAAAATTTTGTATTTGTATTTTTGAATCCTCATTAATATCATTTTCACGCTGCAGTTAAAATCTCTTTATCAAAATAAAATGGTGAATAGTACAATGACTAACTTCTTTGAAAATATAACTGATATAAACCCACATAATCAAATCTTGAAAGAGTCTTCGTTTCTAGGAAGACGCAGCGCAGGGAAGGTAGCCGTGCTTCCTACCCTGCCAGACGCGTCCAGTGACATGAGACTGTCCTGCTTCAATTACTAACAGCAAGCGTTCACTTTATTACTCTCAAAAGTGTTCTGGTTTGAATGATAAAAAAAATATGGTTATCCTGAGCATATCAGCTATATCCACATTTTACCCCTCAGTTATAAAAACTGAATAGAATTTCTCTTTATGCTGGCTTGCTACATTACTACTATATTTATCTATGTATCACACACACACACACACACAGTTGGCTCTATAATGAATTCTGAAAAACTTAATGACAAGAAGCACACCTTCTGGTATTTTCGCTGTGGTTTGAAACAGATGCTTGTTCTGGATCCGTCCCCACAAGACGAGTTGGAAAACTGCAGCCATCACCCTGACTGCATAATGAGAAATATCAGTAATAATGTAATCATGTTCAGTTAAATCAAAGTGGTCAAATTTAACACCTGTTTTCCAGAGGCATGGTATAAAATTATCACAACTTGTCATTTCAGAGAATGATTTCTAAGATTTCTAATTTAGACGGTTATTAGACTCCACTGAGGAAATAAGTCTTTTTCTTTTATAATTTACATATAGTTAAAAATAGTATCTTCCATGACTATGAAAATGATCATGTCTATTAAAGTTATGATAAACATACATATTCAAATATTTGGGTAACTGACCTGCTTATCACAATCATTTAAGATATCATAATTGCTCAAACTGAAATTCAAGACGTTAAGTTCCACATATTTATTTTTTCAACAACATTCATTAAACGAAAATATACTGGATGTTCCGAGTACCATTTGAAGTGCTAGGGCTATACCACTGAACAAAAGAGAAGAAAATCTCTGGCTTCAAGAAGTTCACAACTTACAAAAAAGTACAGCTATGTCTTCTGCATTCTAAAAACATTGTGTACCGCAGGGAATTCCACTTCCAGCCAAGATGGATTAACCGGTACATTTGACCTCCTGTTGAACAGTACATACAACAACTCTTTTCAAAACAGGCAGCACAGAACTGTGGTGTCTGAAAGAAGAGAAACCAACCAAGGAGTTGCAGCTTCTGCCAGAACTTGAGCACCAACAGGGGGATGTGCAGAGCAAGGTGGCCTCACTGAATTAAGGTGACAGAGATGGGAGTTTCGAGAAGACGAGGAGGTTTGCTTCTATCGGACAGAGCTGAGGAAGAGGGATATGTGCAGAGACAGGGCCACAGAAATCTGCACAGGGTTTTACTCGAGTCTTTTGATGAATACTCAGCCACACGTGTGAACCTGGGAAAAGAATGCTGGGGAGCGTAAGCTGAGCAATTCAGAGCCTGCACAGCACGGAAAGCCACTTGCATTCGACCTGCCAGAGTAGAGAGACCTCACTGAACAGGTGGCTATGGCAGAGACTGCAGCAGGCTCCCACCTTTGCTGTAGGACTCAACTTGCCCTAGAGAAAATGCTACTTTACACCCAACCAAAGGTTTAAACAAGCGTCAGGAGGACTAAGCTGAGACAGAAGTCTGCCAAAACAAAATCCAACATTCTTTAAAGGGAGACAAAATTTAAACAAACTCAGAATTCAAAATGTCCACCATCCAATCAAAAATCACTAGCATACAAAGCAGGAAAATGTGATCACAACTGAGAGAAAGTCAATAGAAAAGATTTAGAAATGACCATGAACACTTGAAACAAAGACGTCAAAACAGTGATTATAAATATGTCCATGAATTAACTGATATAAAGAAAAAAGAAATGTAAGATATAAAAAAGAACCAAATTGAACTTCCGGAGCTGAAAAATATAATATCTGAAATAAGAAATTCACTGGATGAGCTTAACAGTAGACAATACAGAAGAAAAGATAAATGAACTCACAGACGTAACAATAGAAACAATCCAATTTGAAGCAAAGAGAGAAAAGAGATGGAGGGGGAGAAGGGAGGGACAACAGCAATGACGGGTGGGTCACGACATATATTTAAGAGAACCCGAAAAGCTAGTGGGGGAAGGGCACAGGAAGAGGGAAGCAGGCAGAAAAGACAACTGAAAATTATTTCAAAATTATTCAGATTGGACTTCCCTAGTGGCATAGTGGTTAAGAATCCTCCTGCCAATGCAGGGGACACAGGTTAGAGCCCTGGTCCGGGAAGATCCCACATGCCATGGAGCAACTAAGCCCATGTGCCACAACTACTGAGCCTGTGCTCTGGAGCCCGCAAGCCACAACTAGTGAGCCCGTGTGCCACAACTAGTGAGCCCGTGTGCCACAACTACTGCAAGCCGTGTACCTAGAGCCTGTGCTCCACAACAAAGAGAAGCCACTAAATGAGAAGCCCGCACACAGCAACAAAGAGTAGCCCCTGCTCGCTGCAACTAGAGAAGGCCTGCGCACAGCAACGAAGACCCAACGCAGCCAAATAAATAAATAACTAAATGAATAAATAAATAATTCAGATTTGATGAAAACGACAAATTCATAGATCCAAGAAGCCTAATGAACTCCAAAGAGGATAAACACGAGGCAAACCATACCAAGGAACATCATCATCAGACTACTTAAAACCAGTGATAAAGATAAAATCTTAAAAGTAGCCACAGGGGGAAAAAAGACATAGTAATTTACAAGCATACCTCCTTTTCTTGTGTTTCATTTTACTGTGCTTTGCAGATACTGTGATTTTTATAAATTAAAGGTTTGAGGCAACCCTACACTGAGCAAGTCTATCGGTGCCATTTTTCCAACGGCATTTGCTCACTTTGGGTCTCTGTGTCACATTTTGGCAATTCTCACAATATTTCAAACCCTCCACCAGCAAAACGATTACGACTTGCTGAAGGCTCAGATAACGATTAGCAGTTTTCAGCAATAAAGTATTTTTAAATCAAGGTATGTACATTGTTTTTTTTTTAGACATAATGCTATTGAACAATTAACAGTCTATGGTTACAGACTGTTATATGCACTGGGAAACCAAAAAATTCGTATGACTCACTTTACTATGATATTTGCTTTATTGCGGTGGTCTGGAACCAAACCTGCAATAATCTCCGAGGTGTGCCTGTACAAACAGTGGAATAAAGATAAGAGAGAGGCTGATTTATTGACACAAACAACACAAGCCAGATGATAATGGAACAACATCTTCAAGGAAGGGGAAAAAAACCCAAAGACAAAAAACCCAACTGCCAACATTGAAATTTCTGTTTAGAGAAAATAACCTTAAAAAATAACAGTCTATGTTCCAACCAGTCGGAGTGGAAACACCTGAATATAAGAGACAACAGATAGAGCGCACAGAAGAGACTGGCGCACTTGAAGATGAAACTCAGGAAAAAGACTGAACAGAAGGTGAGCAGCCACCAGTGAGCCGTGGCGGAGCCTCCCGAGGAGCCACAGACATGTAGCTGGGGTCCCTGCAGGGACAAGGGGAGGGAGGCGACAGAAGAAATACTTGAAGAGACAGTGGTTAAAAGTACTTTCCAAATCTGATGCAAGTTTAAAAATTACAGATCCAAGGAGCTCAACAATCCTAAGCACGAGAATCATGAAGAAAACAACACCAGGCATGTCATAATCAATTTGCAAGAAACTAGTGATAAACAAAATCTTAAAAGCAGCCAGAGAAAAATGTCATATTACACAAACAATAATAAACATAATATCCACAAAGTTCTCATCAGAAAAAATGCAAGCAGCATCTACAATTCTATACCAAGCAAAATGTCTTTCAAAAATGAAGGCAAGGGCTTCCCTGGTGGCACAGTGGTTGAGAGTCCGCCTGCCGACGCAGGGGACATGGGTTCGTGCCCCGGTCTGGGAAGATCCCACATGCCGCGGAGCGGCTGGGCCCGTGAGCCATGGCCGCTGGGCCTGCGTGTCCGGAGGCCGTGCTCCGCAACGGGAGAGGCCACAGCAGTGAGAGGCCCGCATACCGAACAACAACAACAAAAAAATGAAGGCAATTGGGAATTCCCTGGCCGTCCACTGGTTAGGACTTTGAACTTTCACTGCTGGGGCCTGGTTCAAGCTCTGGTCAGGGAACTAAGATCCCATGTGGCGTGGCCAAAAAAAAAGAGAAAGAATGCAAATATGTCATTTTCAGACAAAATAACAAGCAATACAGTTCCTTGTTAAGGGAAAAAAGGAAAAAAATCCACAACGCTTACAAATAGGGTACTTGAATTTCAAATACTTTTTCCTTCTCTATAATGATTCTTGGTATATAGATGGCCTAGGATGGCTGAGAATTTGAGAGAAAAGGAAATTATGAATCATCTTGAGCATATATTCTCATTTAAATTTAAATGCAGGTAAAAACTGCATTATGTGTTGGGTCTTCTTTGATTTAAGACACAACAGAATACATAACCTGTACTGGAAATCTTTGAAGATATGGCTAATAAATATAAATTCTTATGATTCTTTACTTCACAAACTTATTTTCATTTTGAAGGAGAAAGAGTGATTCTTATTTTCTCTGAATCTTTTTTTCTCACTCAAATATACGCCCAAACTCTCCTTCACCCTCTTATAAAAAACATGAAAAATCAAATACTTCATGTAATCAAGATATTCTGAGTTTTCACTCTTAAGGCTCATAATGTCATAATATACTATATTCTCTGAATCATTTAATCAGAGAGACAATCACAGGTTCCATAATTTCTGAGACGTGCATTTTATAAACTACCTTGAAAATATTGGAAGTAGCCAATATTTCTTTTCATCACCAAAGACTTGTCTCCAATTTTTACTGCATCCAAGCGAGAAACCGTTTCCATCAGGTCCATATGAAAATGTGGGTGCACGGAATGATTCTGTTACAGATACATATTACAAAAAAGAAAGAGTTAACCTATTCGAAAATTATAGGAGGGAGGGAAAGTACCAATTTTTTTTCTTTTTAAACTTTTTTTGGGAAAAAATATAACCTCTTGAATATTTCATCACCCTTATAAAATGAAAATGTCAAAATAATTATGTGATATTAAGGAAAATCGACTGAAGAATGTTCAATACACCGTAGCCTTTTTCTTTCTTTCTTTTTTTTTTTAAAGATATTCTGTCTCTTACAACTTCACTCATTCATTATTTATCAACTTCCTACTACGTGCCTATGGCACAGCACCAGGTTTTGGGATCCCAAGGTAAAGTAGATGAAATTCTGACCAAAGAACCCACAGTCTAACAAAACTCTATCAGAATGATAGTGTGATAGAGATACATGCGGGGTGGTGGCCAAGGAAGGTGAAATATGCAGGAGGTGACGCCTGAGCTCGATCCTGAGCTATGAATAATAACAAGGGACGAAGCTGATGGCGGCCAGAGCCTAGGATCTCTGTTTAAAGACAGAATGCATTGCAGAATGTTTTATAAGCTATGGATAAGAAGGAGCCAGGGAGAGACGGATTGGGAAAGGTTGATGACACAGAAAAGTGAAGTAAAAACTGATGGAAGAAAGTTCTAGAAGAAATGGGATGGCCTTTAGAAAAGTTCTAAAGACTAACCATAGATACCAGAAAAGACATTGTGTCCGCAGAAGTTAGAAAGAGGGTGACAGTCATGGGTTTGAAAGTAGCAATGTTTGTGTGAGGTTATAAAGGTGAGACGATAAGAATTTACTTGTGACAACTTCTAATTTTTCTGTGAAGCGTTCACAAAATAGGTAAGGAAATTAGGGAGGATGATCAAAGTCTGGAATACCTATTGTGGGTAATAAGGTGGCAAACCTCATCAGAGACACGTGACATTACTGCCAAATAGAGCTGAGGGCCTAAGTGAGGTCTGAGACTTTGAATCTGTAGTTGTGACCACCTCTGTGGGAGCGAGACGGCCTTCACCAGCTCTCTCCAGCCCCATCGCACTGGGAGAAGAACGCGTCGCTGGAATAACCTGGGTCAGGGACTGGCAAGAGCGCTATGGGAGATGAGGCACTTAGGGGCCTGTGTAATGCGAGGGTGCTGCTGGGAGCTTGAGGGCGTTTATTATAGGATCTAGAATGGAAAAGGGTGAGAAACAAAACCAGAAGGGAAGAAACGTGGGAGAAAAGTGGCGGAGTGTGGAGGACTCAGTAAGCTAAAAAGGGCACACACTGGAACACGGAAAGGGAGAGCTGAACGGATAAAGACAGAGAATGGTCAGAGAATGGAAACTTCAAGGTGAAAATGTGAAAGGTTCAGTGTCTGGGTACAGGAATGACTGGCTATCAGGATCAAAGAGACCAACCAGCCTTTCTGGGGTGACAGCAGCAGTTTGAATGTATTAATAGAAACTCTAACTTGAGAAATGATTCAAGGTAGGGCGGTGACAGCTATGAGGAAGGTACAAGTGATGCCCCAAAGGACATCTGGAAGCAGCAGTGGAGACCTGGGTAACACCAGGGTGTGTGGGGAGTGGTGTGTTAGGGGAAGGTTTTTCAAAGTGTGGGTTTAAACATCTGAATAGGCTGTAAAATCAATTCAGTGCTTTGAAACCAGCATTTCTTTTTAAAGAACTAGAACAGAAAATATTAGAGTGTATTGGACATAGTAGACATCAATGATGTTTTACGAAGATTTTGCTTATTCTAATTACATAATTGTATAAATGTGTGTGCGTGCACTAGGTAGTGATATAAAATGATGCATTTCTTACTGTAGTCACTGGTAAAAACGTTTGAAAAAGATTGTTTTTAAGAGAACAGTGTGTTTCCCAGGAAGCACTCACCTGTCAGACACCTACAGGGTTTGGGTGGGAAACCAATGAAGCAGGGTGGGAACCGAGGCCAATTAGATGCTCGTGGCCACCGAAGCAGTCAGCCACTACTGAGCTCCTACCGAATGACGCCAGGTGGGAAAATAGGGCCACCGGAGTCGTCAGTTTTGAAAAGAAGAAATCTCCTTTTCTGTGTGAAACCTCTCAGTGTCCAGCTGCTTGGGAGGTCTGAAGAGCTAGGCTTTGCAGGCGGGCTGCCTTCTGTGACCTCGGGTTAAAGGTGAAGAGATGACAGGATATTCCGTGACGATGATACATTAATTGACGTGAGGAAGCTTATTCACACGGAAAGGGATGAAAGCGTGGGCACCGGAAGAGAGGCAGCAGCAGAGCGGGCTGGGAAGGGCGGGGCACCGCACCCTTACCCTGGGAGCCGCCATCTTTTACAGGACCCCACAGACACGACATTAAAGCGATCCAAATATAAAGGTACCTAAGAAGCTCATTACAACGTCTGCAGCTTTCTATGCTAAAATGTGTCCAACTCTCCTTTAGACAGCAGGGAGTGTTTAACTTTCTTTGGAAACACTGTGACAGATCCCCATTCTGTTAGCCAATACCTCAATATTCCAGTTACGGCTGGTGTTGCTGCTTACATGCCAATGGTTTAGTCTGAGCGATGCCCCACCACCGTTGTTTAAGAAGTGTGTGTCGGGCTTCCCTGGTGGCGCAGTGGTTGAGAGTCCGCCTGCCGATGCAGGGGACACGGGTTCGTGCCCCGGTCCGGGAAGATCCCACGTGCCGCGGAGCGGCTGGGCCCGTGAGCCGTGGCCGCTGGGCCTGCGCGCCCGGAGCTTGTGCTCCGCGACGGGAGAGGCCGCAGCAGTGAGAGGCCCGCGTACCGCAAAAAAAAAAAAAAAAAAAAAAAAAAAAAAAAGAAGTGTGTGTCCAATTATTGGAATACCTTACTGAATTCTTCCCCAATAGTTTCATTTTAAAAAAATGAGCACAAAAGGGACATAAGTGCTAACATTAGTGATACAACAAATGCAGGAAACAGCCTTTATTAAAATTTATAAAATATAGTCAGTTCTCTACTTTTATATACAACACACTCTACTGAAAAAATATATAAAAATCAATCTTACTTCCTCAACCTTCTCAAAATTATGAACCTTTACATTTATTAAACAGCCATTGTTCCTATCCAGTCCAAGTTAATTTTAATACAGAATTATTTTATCTTTATCATCTTTTGTCCTTCTCTAGATTTCATGTTCATCTGTGGCCATTTTCCTAAATAATTATGCTTTATTTTAACCTACTTACCTATGGTTGTTCTGTTTTTTCCAACTAGCCAGCAGTGGTAGCTGAGAAGGGACAATACGCTGATGAAGAACATTGTCGACACAAAGAATAGAAAAAGTATGTGGAATTTTGCACGTGTATCTGAGAGTTCATTCTGAGGAAAGAGAAAAGAAGACTTACTTTTCAGAATAGTCAACCTCCAAAATATACTCTTACAAATTTGGCTCTTCCTGAAGATTGCTGAATTCGCCAAAATGTTACCAGATATGAGAATAAAATAAATTAGGTAATACATCCAAAAGCAACATTTCCCAAAGCAGAGAATTGGTATTTTCAGAGGGGCTTGCTTACATAACATGTCAGAAAGAGTCACTTTAAAAACCGCTCTCGGGCTTCCCTGGTGGCGCAGTGGTTGAGAGTCCGCCTGCCGATGCAGGGGACACGGGTTCGTGCCCCGGTCCGGGAAGATCCCACATGCCGCGGAGCGGCTGGGCCCGTGAGCCATGGCCGCTGAGCCTGCGCGTCCGGAGCCTGTGCTCCGTGACGGGAGAGGCCACAACAGTGAGAGGCCCGCGTAACGCAAAAAAAAACCCCCAAAACAAAACCCTCTTAAATTTTAGCAATAGTTTCAGTAATAAAATAAAAAGATGGACATTTTTACCCAACGTTTGTCTTTTGTACTTTATACACATATTCAAGCTTTCCCCAACATCCAGGATACACCAGGGTTTTCTCCATCTACGCTACTATTTGCTTGTTTTAATTATATAACCAGAAACTAATTGCAATAAATTTATTTTTGGACTTCCCTAGTCTCTGTCTTCGGAACACCGCTGCACACAGTCATCCCTTCAGCTGCTTCCATTCCTACCTCTTTAATCCTTGCTCCTTTCCTACAGAGCCTGTTTTGGTAATTACCGATTTGGGTATGTCAACTTGCCACAAGGCATTAATTAGTGAACGAAAACAGCTTCTGTTACCCATTCTAATGGCTAGATTCATTTCAACAGAAGCAAAGTGTTAACCCAGAAGAAGTCAGTCTCTAGCAAGAGGATTAGAAGGAAGCCTTTTCGCATTCGCTCTCACGACAAAGCCGCACAGCCAACCACAGCCTCACAGAACAAGAGCTGCTCCTGCTTGATTTAAACACTGTGTACAGGGTAACAGGAAGGTTTTTAGCATTAGGTGATTCTAACATCTATCTTCCCCTCTTCTCTTCCAGAGTAGACGCAATACCTTTTAAATACATCAAGCGATTCTTCTATCTCCCCATCTTGTGAAACAAATGAGTACTATACATACTCACTATCAATGTCACAAAAAAGATGGCAAGAATGTCATGGCAATGATTTTTTTTTTTAATTTAATTAATTTATTTATTTTTGGCTGCGTTGGGTCTTCGTTGCTGCGTGTGGGCTTTCTCTAGTTGTGGAGAGTAGGGGCTACTCTTCATTGCAGTGTGCGGGCTTCTCATTGTAGTGGCTTCTCTTGTTGCGGAGCACGGGCTGTAGGCGTGTGGGCTCCCGTAGTTGCAGCACATGCGCTCAGTAGTTGTGGCGCACGGGCTTAGTTGCTCCGTGGCATGTGGGATCTTCCCAGACCAGGGCTCGAACCCGTGTCCCCTGCATTGGCAGGCGGATTCTCAACCACTGCGCCACCAGGGAAGCCCGCAATGTGTATTTTACCTTTGGACAACTCTCTGTAGATTTCCTGTGGCAAAGCTTGTATAAATAGAGACAACACATTAAGAAACCACTTTTTATACAAAATTATCCTGTGCACTATTGTTATAAACCTTTCATGTTTGGAAGGACCACTAAGATGTGGCTCTCTAAAGGTCATCAATGACGTTTTCTCAAAAACCACAAAAGACAAGAACATTCCGCTCTCCAAGCACGTTGAGGGTACACTTTACACACCTTTCCACAAAGTTTTTAAAACAGAGATTTGGGGCTTCCCTGGTGGCGCAGTGGTTGAGCGTCCGCCTGCCGATGCAGGGGACACGGGTTCGTGCCCCGGTCCGGGAAGATCCCACATGCCACGGAGCGGCTGTGCCCGTGAGCCATGGCCGCTGGGCCCGCGCGTCCGGAGCCTGTGCTCCGCAACGGGAGAGGCCAAAACTGTGAGAGGCCCGCGTACCGAAAAAAAAAAAAAAAGACAAAAAAAAAAACAAAACAAAACAAAACAAAAAACCCAGAGATTTGTATCTAGGAAAGCATAAAATTGATTTTTTTAGCAAACAGTTTTTTAAAAACTTCTGATGAGTATTTTCTAAAAACTAGATCTAATAATTTCTCACCTGCCTCAATGGTACTGCAGTAGCCTTCCAAGGGGTGCCATCTCCTCCCGACCAGTCTACTTTCCACAAAGCAGCCAGAGGGACCCTTTATAAGGCCGATGGCATTACCCGCTGCTCCTCATTCCACGGCCCTTGCAACGCCCGCAAAGACCCTGCATCCCTGGCCGCCTCCTGGACCCCTGTTCCCCCTGCTCATCTACTCCAGCCTTGCCAGTTGCCTGGCATGGTGCTGCTCTGGGCTTTTACTCTAAAGGTTAGACGTCTCCTCTGTTTGAAACACTCTTCTCTCAGGTATCCACTAAGTCCCGTCAAGTCTTCGCTCAGCTTTCTTACTGAGGCCTACCACAATCACTCTTAAAAAAATTCAGATGTAATTGACATATAATGTTATTTTAGTTTCAGGAGTTCAACATAATGATTCCATATATGTCTATATGGCAAAATGATCACTACAGTAAGTCTAGTTAACATCCATCACCACACACAGTCACAAAAACTTTTTTCTTGTGAGGAGATCTTTCAAGACCTAACTCTTAGACACTTTCAAATATACTTATTAGCCACAGTCACCATGTTGTACATTACAGCCCCAGGCTTATTCTGCCACCTCCTCCCACTTCACCCAACCCCCACCCCACACCTCTGACAACCACCAAAATGTTCTTTGTATCTATGGGTTTTTTTTTTATTCCACATAAAAGTTAGATAATATGGTATTTGTCTTTCTCTGTCTGACTTTATTCCCTTATTATAATATCCTCAAGGTCCATCTGAGTTGTCAAAAACGGCAAGATTTCCTTCTTGTTCTATGGCAGAATTTATACCATTTATGCAACGATATAAATTCCGTTGCATATTTATACCACAATTTCTTCATCCACCAATGTAAACTTAAGAGCGTTTTCATGTCTTGGCTGTTATAAACAATGCTGCAATGAACACAGGGATGCAGATATCGTTTTGAGTTAGTGTTTTCCTTTCCTTTGGATATAATCCCAGCAGTGGAATTTCTGGACTGTATAATAGTTGTAATTTTAATTTTTTGAGGACTCTCCGTACCATCCTCCATAGTGGCCGCGCTAATTTACACTCCCACCAACAGCACACAAGGGCTCCCTTTTCTCCACATCCTTGCCCAAACTTGTTATTTCTTGTCTTTTTGATAATGGCCATTCTGACAGGTGTGAGGTGCTGTCCTGCTGTGGTCTGGTTTGCATTTCCCTGGTGATTTGTGATGCTGAGCATCTTTTCATGTGTCTGTTGGCCATCTGCATGTCTTCACTGGAAAAATGTCTATTCAGATCTTCTGACCATTTTTTGCTTGTTTGTTTTTGTTGTTTTTTTTTGCAGAACACGGGCCTCTCACTGTTGTGGCCTCTCCCGTTGTGGAGCACAGGCTCCGGACGCGCAGGCTCAGCAGCCACGGCTCACGGGCCCGGCCGCTCCGCGGTATGTGGGATCCTCCCCGGACCGGGGCACAAACCCGTGTCCCCTGCATTGGCAGGCGGACTCTCAACCACTGCGCCACCAGGGAAGCCCCTGACCATTTTTTAATCAGATTGTTTTGTTTTTGCTATTAAGTTGTATGAGTTCTTTATATATTTTGAATATTACTCCTTATCAGATACATAATTTGCAAATATTTTCTTCCATTTAGTAGGCTGCCTTTTCATTTTGTTAATGATTTCCTTTTCTATGCAGCAGCTTCTAGTGTGACATGGTCCCACTTGTTTAGTTTTGCTTTTGTGGCTTTTGCGTTTGATGTCAAATCCAAAAAATCATTGCCAAGGCTGATGTCAAGGAGCTCACCACCTGCATTTTCTTCTAGGAGATTTATGATTTCAGGTCTCATGTTCAAGTCTTTAATCCATTTGGAATTGATCTTTGCCTATGATGTAGGACTGAGGTTCAGTTTCACTCTTTTGCATGTGGCTGCCCAGGTTTCCCAACATCCTTTGCTGAAGAGACTGTCCTTTCCCCATTGTATCTTCTTGGCTCCCTGTCATAAATTAACTGACTGTATGTGCATGGGTTGATTTCTGTGCTCTCTTATTCTATTCCACTGATCTATGTGTCTGTTTTTATTCCAATAACATACTGTTTTGATTACTACAGATGTGGGATATAATTTGAAATCAGGAAGTGAGATGCCTCTAGCTTTGTTCTTTTTCTTCAAGACTGTTTTGGTTATTTGGCTCTTTTGTGGTTCTATACACATTTTAGGATGGTTCTATTTCTGTGAAAAATGGCATTGGAATTTTGATGGGGATTGCACTGACTCTGTAGATTGCTTTGGGTAGTATGGACATTTTAAACAATATGAATTCTTCCAAATCCATAATCACAGATTATTTTTCCGTTCATTTGTGTCTCCTTCATTTGCTGTCATCAATGTCTCATACTTTCCAGTGCAGAGATCTTTCATATCCTTGTTTAGAGTTATTCCTAGGTATTTTATTCTTTTTTTTTTTTTTTTATTCTTTTTGATGCAATTGTAAATAGTACCGTTTTCTTAACTTCCCTTTCTGACACTTTGTTATTAGCGTATAGAGATGCAACAGATTTTTGTACATTGATTTTGCAACCTGCAACTTCCCTGAGTTTATTAGTTCTCACAGTTTTCTTGTAGACTATGATTTCCTAATATGTCGCTTGAAAACAGAGACAGTCTTACTTCTTCCTTTCCTATCTGGATGCATCTTCTTTCTTTTACTTGCCCAGCTGTCCTGGCTGGCTACGACTTTCGATACTACGTTGAATAAAAGTGGCAAGAATGGGCAACCCTGTCTTGTTCCTGATATTAGAGGAAAAGCTTTCAGCTTTTCACCACTGAGTATGATGTTAGCTGTAGGCTT